GAGGAGAGGAGATAGTGAAACGTCCGGCTACTTTTCCTATGATGGTAACGCAGATTTGGATAACTCAAGGTTAAGCGCAGATGAGTCTTTTTATTCAACGTACTCAAGACAACCTCAAACACCGACAGGACCTGCCTCACCTGCTCCTCAATCACCTATTCGACCGGCACCAGCTCAACCCAGAATGATCCCTAGACAAAATGCATTCGCAAATGTAAGTTTTTTTTTTTTTTTATCTTTACCGCTTTCAAAGAAACTATAATTCACGTTTAGCCCTCCAAATCTTCTCAAAGTCCTCTCTACAAGGCTGCTACTCATTGAAAGATCCGTGTGAAACCAGCTGTCTGTGTTATGTCATGTCCTACCAATCCTTTTAGCTTCCCTCTGTAGTTTCCTTCTCTGTGTGTTCTTGGTTCGTGGTATTTTTAAAGCCCTTAAGTTTCCGAGTCAAACATTGATCTCCAATTTTCTAAGCGTGTGTTCTGTCAAAAACCAGCGTCCTTTCATCATCTCTTGGTTCACTGAAATTTGTTTTAGTTCTTTTCCAAGGCCCACATTAGGTGATTCTATCATATCATTGAATTCCTGTTGTTCTGCACGGGAATCAGCTCATGAATTATTCAGTGTATTAGCGGAGTTTTTTTTTTTTTTTAAATTTTTAGTTGTTTTCCTTATTTCAGCTCTATAATAATTCGACATTAGCGGCAACATGTGTAATTACCACAAACAAGACAAAATTCACACAGCATAAAAGTTCACCAGTCACATTTAGCACTCGGTAAACGTATCACACACACACACACACACACACACCCACAAACACAAACACTTGCATACACACACATACAAACACAAACACTCGCATACACACACACCCAAACACACACAAACAATTACACGAACACACACAATTATGTATCCCTATAAACACTTTACTAGTGAGTATAATACCCAACAGAATGTCATGTTTGTGGATCAGGAAAAGGCTTTCGATAGAGTCGGTGGAAACACACTGTAATATGTTCTCGAGAACTACGAGGTGTATCACAGTCATGTACCACACAATCTAGAAGTGCAGTAAAAAACAAGAAATCATATCATATATTTTCACAGTCCACACACGTGTGAGAACACAAGGAGGCATTTCTAATATGTTCACAGTCAACTCAAGTGTGAGAACTCAAGAAGACATATCGTATGTGTTACCGTTCAACTCAGGTGTGAGAACACAAGAAAACATATCATATATGTTGACAGTCAACTCAGGTGTGAGAACACAAGAAGACATATCATATATGTTGACAGTCAACTCAGGTGTGAGAACACAAGAAGACATATCATATATGTTGACAGTCAACGCAGGTGTGAGAACACAAGAAGACATATCATATATGTTGACAGTCAACGCAGGTGTGAGAACACAAGAAAACATATCATATATGTTACCGATCAACGCAGGTGTGAGAACACAAGAAGACATATCATATATGTTGACAGTCAACGCAGGTGTGAGAACACAAGAAGACATATCATATATGTTTCCGGTCAACGCATGTTTGTGACAGTAGTGTGGGCTCTCCCCACTTTTATTTCACATTTCTACAGATTAAATATCTAAAACAAAACAAACAAAAAAATCAATTTCTAATGCGGAAAACATGGATCGTAATTATCATGAGGAAGTGCACACATTAGACGTAGTAATCGAGTTACTCACATTAAAGTCGAACGCTTTTTTCTGACGACCTGTGTTTGTTCTCTACTGATGAAGATAAGACCGCAAGATTAGCTGGTTTAAATCAGCATGCAGCAAATACAACAAAGGCACACAAAGACACACAAATACAACAAATGCACACACACACACAAATACAACAAATGCACACAAACACACACAAATACAACAAATGTACACAAACACACACAAATACAACAAATGCACACAAACACACACAAATACAACAAATGCACACAAACACACACAAATACAACAAATGCACACAAACACACACAAATACAACAAATGCACACACACACACACAAATACAACAAATGCACACAAACACACACAAATACAACAAATGCACACAAACACACACAAATACAACAAATGCACACAAACACACACAAATACAACAAATGCAAACAAACACACACAAATACAACAAATGCACACAAACACACTAATACAACAAATGCAAACAAAACCGAAAAAAATGGAGGTCAGTAGAACCCCTGGCCAGATTATTATCAACATATTTACTCCAACCACTGCCAAATATGGACACAATTTAAAGCCTAACTGCGCAAAATCCATACTTGCAAGATGAGATGCCTTTGAAAAGCCAACAACTTAACCATCCGTAATCCAGCCAATAATTATAATGTATCGTACAATTTGTGCAAACGACACCTTCTACTAGATTCAAAAACAAACCGCAGCTTAGGTGATTTCGCCATCTCGTTAGAATGCAGCAAGATCAAGTCCAACAACACTCACCGTATCTCAGAAGATCAGCTACAAGAGTAAGAGGACTGCCACGGAATAAATGGATCAACAATATTAAACACTCTACGCCTTAACGGCATGACAATAGTCAGTGGCAAGCCACGGGTATCGCAAAGTATTCCTCATCACGTGGCTTGATGACAGAGGCGGTTGATGATGATGATGATGATAATGATGATGATAACACTGATGGACATGATGATGATGCCTAGATCTGCCAGACATAAACATTTCAGTTAGGGGCACAAATCGTTTGATTATTCTAAATAGAGCCATTGGGGTTAACATCTGGGGAGTTGAGCACCTAAAATATTTGTTGTTAGGTTGGGTACCACTAATATTTATGGAGCAGAGACCCCCCCCCCCCCCCCCAGCCCCAGCCCCAGCTACTCAGACCATTTATATATGTTTGTTGATAATTCAGTGTTAGTTGAAGTTCTCTTAGAGAATTGTGCAAAAAGGTTTAAAAACAAAATATGAGAGCAAAAGATAAATGATACAACCCAACCACCATCATAAACAATAATAGAGGAAGTCCTATATTTGATCAAATTCAAAGGTTAGCACGAGGTAGATAACATCAGTTTTGTGCCTAAAAGCTGTGACCAACATGGGCCAAACTTTTAGACATCAGAAGTAAACGCTGCTATACAGAAGAGCCCTAAACACAAAGCACCTGGTTTAGATGGAATAACTACAGAATCTATTCAGGGGTTATCAAACTGGCATTAAATGGCTAACAAGAATTTTTATCACAGCATGGAAGGAAAGGAAAGTCACATGTGAGTGTAGGGTGCTGGTGCAGTGTGTGGGTGTAGGGGGCTGGTGCAGTGTGTGGGTGTAGGGTGCTGGTGCAGTGTGTGGGTGTAGGGTGCTGGTGTAGTGTGTGAGTGTAGGGTGCTGGTGCAGTGTGTGAGTGTAGGGTGCTGGTGCAGTGTGTGGGTGTAGGGGGCTGGTGCAGTGTGTGGGTGTAGGGTGCTGGTGCAGTGTGTGGGTGTAGGGTGCTGGTGCAGTGTGTGGGTGTAGGGGGCTGGTGCAGTGTGTGGGTGTAGGGTGCTGGTGCAGTGTGTGGGTGTAGGGTGCTGGTGTAGTGTGTGAGTGTAGGGTGCTGGTGCAGTGTGTGAGTGTAGGGTGCTGGTGCAGTGTGTGGGTGTAGGGTGCTGGTGTAGTGTGTGAGTGTAGGGTGCTGGTGCAGTGTGTGAGTGTAGGGTGCTGGTGTAGGCTGTTGCCCGAACGGGTTTCAAATCAACAATTCCTATGTATTGAAGGCCTACTACTTGCAGCATGATGTAGTTCTGTATGATATTGTCGCTCTACTACATACTGCATGATGTAATATTGTATGATATTTTCGCTCTATTACTTACTGCATGATGCAATATTGTGTGATATTTTCGCTCTACTACTTACTGCATGATGTAACACTTTATGATATTGTCTCTCTACTACTTACTGCATGATGTAACACAGAATAATACTGTCGCCCTACTACTTACTGCGTGATATAACACAGAATGCTACTGTCTCCCTGCTACTTACTGCATGAAATAACACTGAATAATATTGTCGCCCTGCTACTTACTGCATGATGTAACACAGAATAATACTGTCGCCCTACTACTTACTGCGTGATATAACACTGAATGCTACTGTCTCCCTGCTACTTACTGCATGAAATAACACTGAATAATATTGTCGCCCTGCTACTTACTGCATGAAATAACACTGAATAATATTGTCTCCCTACTACTTACTGCATGAAATAACACTGAATGATACCGTCGTTCTACTACTTAGTGCACGATGTAACACTGTATGATATTGTCGCCCTACTACTTACTGCATGAAATAACACTGAATGATACCGTCGTTCTACTACTTAGTGCACGATGTAACACTGTATGATATTGTCGATCTACTACTTACTGCATGAAATAACACTGAATGATATTGTCGCCCTACTACTTACTGCATGAAATAACACTGAATGATATTGTCGCCCTACTACTTACAGCATGAAAAATAAAACAATCAATGATATTGTCCCTCTACTACTTACTGCATGATGTTACACTGAATGATATTGTCGCTCTACTAATTACTGCATGATGTTACACTGAATGATATTGTCGCTCTACTAATTACTGCATGATGTAACATTGCATGATATTGTCGCTCTACTAATTACTGCATGATGTAACACTGAATGATATTGTCGCTCTCTTAATTACTGCATGATGTAATACTGAATGATATTGTCGCTCTACTACTTACTGCATGATGTAACACTGAATGATATTGTCGCTCTACTACTTACTGCATGATGTAACACTGTATGATATTGTCGCTCTACTACTTACTGCATGATGTAACACTGTATGATATTGTCGCCCTACTAGTTACTGCTTGATGTAACACTGTATGATATTGTCGCCCTACTACTTACTGCATGAAATAACACTGAATAATATTGTCGCTTTACTAATTACAGAGTGACCAAGAACGTGAAAGGAACACTGTTTTCTTTTCGCGAAATATCACACACTTGTATGACGGAAACATAGAGACATTTGTTGCACCATTGGAGAAATGTCTCATTTACTTTCACGCAACTGGCACATCACCAAACCCCGGCTTGGAATATTCATTTTCAAAAGTAAGTATTTTAATAATTGTTGTCGTTAATATTGCTTTTTTCTTTTTTAAACAATATTTTTCTTGTTCATAGGAGGAAAAACACAATAATGTGTTCAGCCCAAAGTCTCCACAACATACTCTTTGGGGAGAGCTGTATTTAACTGCTGTAATCTACGCTTGCATTTGCCATTGCCAAAAACAAAAAATATTTTCAAAAACTATTGATGATGACTGCTGACAGTTTATTACACATACGCCACCCGATTTACGTCTCACACACATCGAAAATAACGCTCACGGTAAGGTTACGCTGTGTATTTTAAAATTTGCTGAAGCTAACGGTTACTAGTTCGAAGATGCTAGCTGTGCACGCATACTCACAACAATAAAGCCACGAGGAGGAAAATACAACGTAAACCCCCTCTAGAGTAATTGTTACATGCTAACGTTTACACATTTGACTTATTACGCCACGCCACTGCAATATCCCTAAGATACTCTTTATGGAGCTGCTGTCTTTGCTGGGGCAATCGAGTGTGCTGGTTCTCAGGCAAAGACTACCACCTCTATGATTGGTCCAGACCTGACTAGACAGATGGACAAAAGCGATGTGGTCAATGCCATGTATATACTAGCTTTGCCCTGCCACGCGTTGCTGTGGCCCCGCATAGAGAAATAGAAGAGAAAGAAAGTAGCTCTCAACTAACAGTGTCTGTCAGAACCCTCAACCCCTGTCCCTCTCACTTCCACCCAGTCATATCTCCCTTTCCAAAGGAATAAAAAATCATCACTTTGTGAAATTATTGAAATAGAAATGGTTAAGAAATGATAACTTTAAAATAATGTTTTGAGCCCTCTCAGTTAACAGTGTCTGCCATCTACCCCCCCCCCCCCCCCCCTTTTTTTTTTTCCCTAATCATGGATGGGAAAGTCATCATCTGACAAAATATTTTAACTGAACTGAGCTTTGCATCCGTGTCCACCCAGAGACAGATGGATAGCATTAATGTGTAATGAGAAGTAAAAGTGGCCAGTGTAACAGCTACCACATCACGCATCCAGTACCAGTACTACTGCTACCACCACCACCTTCAGAACAAAAACAAAAAAAGTCACTACTGTCTGTGCAGGTCGGTGTAGCCAGAGGGGTAGGCGCTGCATGATGTCGCCACGGACTGTTTAGTGTAATTGAGCTCCCAACAGAGAAAAAGAAAACCCACAGTAATAGTCCGTTCTATACTCACAAAAGCGGGGGGGGGGGGGGGAACCCACCCGTCATCTCCCCTCTCCAAGGGGACGAATGGTAAATGACCTTGGCATCCGTGTCCACCCAAAGTAAACTGGACTGTAAGCAGTCTTAGTTAACAGCTTCTGTCATCTACGAATAGTTTATCATCGAGTGAAGCGTCGCGGGGAGGATAAATGGGACTTTACTGAAATCGGATGTCTTTGGGCGAAAGGTGCAGATATCGCAGCCTTACTGTAAATCACAACACAACATTTCAATAGCCCTAACAAAAGAAAAAGGAAAATTAGCACCCAGTCGGTAAGTGAACACTGGTCAACCACGTGAAGGAAGGACTACATACAAATATACTACCTCAGATTTAAGAGATTGGGTCCGATATCGCAGCCTAGCTGTAAACCACAACACAACGTTCCAACCGCTCTCTCAAAGGCGAACGAAGATTAACCGCGACATGACCGACATCTCGTCGTCGCTATTGCAGGCAAGCTGTAAACCCGTAAATCGAGCGGAAAGAAGACGCAGATATCCCAGCCTAGCTGCAAACCACAACAAAACTTGCCAGGCGCTTAGTTAAGGGCTAAAAAATTCTTTATCACCTAGCGGGGCAATAATCACCAGTCATCCACGTAACAGGCAAAATAGACAACTACGCTACCAAGGACTCCAGCATCTGCCCAATTATATCTCCCTCTCCGAATGATTGAAACATTATTGCGTGGCAACATTGTTAAAATAGAAATAGTTAGGAAATGAGAAATGTAAAAAAAACGTTGTAAGCTCTCTCAGTTACCAGTGTCTGGCATCAACCCCCCTCGACACCCCCCCCCCCCCCCCAAATCATATCATCCTCTACGAAGTATGGGGAAGTCATCACCTGACGAAATGTTGTGAAATTGAGCATGGCATCCGTGTCCACCCAGACAAAAATGGGTAGCAATAATCTGTACTGAGAAGTAAATGTGGCCAGTGTAACAGCTACCACATAACCCATCGAGTACCAGTTACTGCTACAACTACCATCACCACCGTCACAACAACAACAACACAAAACGGTAACTACTGTCTGTACAGGTCGTTGTAGCCAGAGGAGTTGGCGCCGCAAGCTGTCCCCACGGACTGTTTAGTTTAAGCGTGTCCCCGACATAAAACTCTAGTGATGGAACCCACAGTAAAATTCCGTGATATAAAAAAAAAAAAATGTACACTATACTCACAAATAGCGGAAATAAAAACCCGCACTCGTCATGTCTCCCTCTCCGAAGTGACGATGTTTAATTAACCTTGGCATCCGTGTCGACCCAAACCAAACTGGACAGTAAGCCTTCTTAGTTAACAGTGTCTGTCATTAACGAATAGTTTTGATCGAGTGAAGCGTCGGGGGGGGGGGGGGCTTATGTGGACTGTACTTAAATCGTATGTCTTAAGGCGTAAGGCGCAGATGTCGCAACTTAGCTTTAAACAACAACACAACGTGCCAATCGCCCATTTAGGGTAAAAAGAAAAATTAGTACTCAGCAGGGAATCGAACACCCGTTATACACAGCATCTCGGAATCTGAAATATTTAGGTCATATCAAGCGCCACGACAGATTTCAACAAAACAATTGTAGCAGAAGGTATGGTACAGAGAAGTAGGGGCAGGGTCTGACCGACACGAAGATGGGCACAGGATAAAAGTGACTCCTTGAGTATAAAAGTGCATGAGGCTGGAGAGCTGGTGAGAGACCGAGTTTCTTTCAGGCAGACTGTGATGAGAGCGACGTTCTGCAAAGGTCCTGCTACGTGATGATGATGATGATGATGTCCGTTATAAACAACGACTGAGAAGAAGTGATCAATATTTTATCCACATGGCCTCTCTCAACACATATTTTGTATAAATGATGGATAACTACCAATCCCTGCTGCATCTGATTGATGTAACCGAACCGAACGATTCGTTGGCGACGACAATTCCACTTTACCAACATCGTCTAATATTTACATTATGTTTGCTGTTAGTCATATGCTAACAATTCAACATTTGACTATGTTTTTCTGAAGTCAAGGGGGTCACCGTAGCAAAGTGGTCAGGAAAGTCGTGGGTTCGTTTTGTGATTTTATGATATATTTCACTGGTGTAAGATTTAGGGTGATTCGTGTGAGACGTCATCAGAGCTACGGAGGTCGTTTTTTGTGTGATGCTCTCGGTAGGCTGTTAGTTGTTCTGCGGACTGAGCCGTATATAATAAAAAAAACGATTTAATGAAGTCGATCTTCTAAACTTTTACTCTTTACCCTCTAACCTTTCTGTAGTCATTTCCATGTAATAGGTAGCAATCATCAGCCACGTCGATCTCCACCCCGTGTTTGATCTGCGTAAATGGATAAGTATGATCGTAGATAAATGTAACACAATGCACATGCGTGTAACCACATGTTGCTGTTATTTGCTTGGAAAATAGAACTCTGCGCCGAGTACTGACTTGGAGAAAGTGTTACATAATGTTGTTTCTTAGTTAAACATACATCAGATGCAATGTTAAAAATCATATGCTTTTATGTTTCTTTATTGCAAACATATATGTGATATTATCTTTGGCCAGGTCGCAGATACAGTCAATCATCCAGGGTATGGCTTTGGGGTTATCGACTGCGGTTATATGCCGAGCCTGTGTTACATGTACGACGTTCACCGGACACCAGCTCTCAAACTATTCTCCAACGGCTTCGAAGTCAGCACCATCAGCGCACCAGAGAGCCTCACTCCAGAGGCGATGCAAAAGTTGATGGTAATGAGCCCAGTACTCAATAAACCGCTCGTAAAAGTGGGAGAGGATTTAATGGCAAAAAAAGCAAGACAACAACAGCAGACGCCGACTCGCCATGGAAAGTTCTGCTGGTAGACTATCATGTCGGACATCTGAAGACCATCAAAAAGACAGAGCCACTGTCTGGCATCTTCCGGATACTCTGTGTGCAGCTTGATAAAAGAAACAAACAGCAACAACAACAACAACAACAACAACAACAACAACAACAAAAGAGAACAAGCATGCCCCTGACACACAGATGATACACTACCAACGCTAGTAAATGCTAACATTAAAAAAAAAAAGCAATAGAAAAACGTGTACCCCAAAACAAACGTGTTTGTTTGATTTAATTTGTAAATATATGTTCTTTCCAAGAAGCACAGCTACCTGATTCTACTTCCTAAACCTGGCAACAATCATTCAACACTCAGCAGCTTTAGGATCATAACCCTACACAAGAAGGAGATTGGCTGCCTAAGTTGGAACATCATAAATGTACATGCTACCGTGGGCTCATTAGTTACAAAGCAACAGTGGGACTGTTGAAAACAACGAAACAATGAATGGGACAGTACTGGGGAAAACCGACAGGGAGTTGCCCTTGCTGACGCCTTGGTGGATTCAGATTTTGTCTGCTTAAATGTTGGGATGCCAACCTGGCTCTGGTTACATAGTCTGCAGTGCTGGACACCGAATGGACTGTCCTGGACGATCATGGATGTGACTCCATGTTTAGTATTAATCTCCAAATCCTGTAAAGTGAAGGTTTCAAGAGCTCGAATGCCTTTCAAGTACAAGCGGACAAACACTCTTCTTGGACGTCTCCGACAGAGCATGTAAGAAGAAAACCGGCAGATCTATGTTTGTGCAGCCTTCATGGTGGACATTAGAGGTTGAACAGACATTGAAGTTGAAGAGATCTGCAGTTTAGCGTTTACAGAAAGTACGACAGTCAGCCCTATGCTCACAGGAAGAATTGGGGTTCGCAGAAAGGGGTAAGAAAGATAGGATAGTTTCTCAAGATTGGCCTAAAGTAGTGGGAACAATAATAGAAATGACGGTATGCTCTTAACCACAGACAAAGAGAAGGAGGAGGCTTCCCTGAAGAGGGTTATTTCACAGACAAATGACAATGATTGAGATAACATAGATAAAGTTAAAGTAGATCTGGCAGTCACCTTAAGGAACAAACATTGTATAGAAATCATACAGGTGCAAGATGTGTAACATGTTTTGAAAAAGGCGAAAGACAGTTTACCTGGGCCTGACGGGGTTAAATATTTCCACATGAAAGACATGAGCGACCCAGACATGGTGGAGATGACTGCTTGTTTTAACCAGAGCATTGGGACAGCTTCAGTCCCAAAAGAGTGGATGCACAGCTACCTGATTCCACTTCCTAAGCCTGACAAGAATCACTCAACACTCAATGGTTATATGATCAATACCCTACAAAACACCATTGGTAAAGTTCTGAAGATGATAGTCGCGGGTAAGCTACAAGAATTCTTGAAACAGAGAAATCTCCTTCCACGAGATTCAAGAAGTTACCGGTCAGAGAAGGACACATGGTCAAATGCAACCACTTTTCCCATTGACGACTTCAATGGTTTCCAGAACATACAGGATACAGCTGCAGCGACACTTGTTCTAGAAGATGCTTACAACAGATTCAGAGACGGTATCTTGATAAAGGCGCTAATGGCGAAGGAAGTATGTCCTTGGTTTGTGAACTGGATAGCAGTCATTTTGTATACTCACCGTGTAGCTCTCCGCCTGTGTTCATGGACATGTGAACCATGTATTATAAAACCAGGACTGCCACATGGATCTGCAATTTCACCTGTACTATTCAATGTTTTTGCGAGCAAAATTGCCTGCCTGGAAACACCTTGAATAATGACATTTGCAGATGGTTTTCTCGTAAATAGTAAGCGGAGGGTTCAGAATTAAATAGCTGGAGTTACAGGCAACCTGTAAGATAAGGTAATTGACTGGGGTACAGAGATGAGTGCTGTAATCAACCCAGAAAATGTAAACTATGCTGTAATCAACCCAGAACAGGTAAACTATCCTGTAATCAACCCAGAAAAGGTAAACTATGCTGTAATCAACCCAGAAAAGGTAAACTATGCTGTAATCAACCCAGAACAGGTAAACTATGCTGTAATCAACCCAGAAAAGGTATACTATGCTGTAATCAACCCAGAAAAGGTAAACTATGCTGTAATCAACCCAGAAAAGGTAAACTATGCTGTAATCAACCCAGAAAAGGTAAACTATGCTGTAATCAACCCAGAAAAGGTAAACTATGTTCCAGAGAAATTTGACTAAAAAGCTCAACAAAATGGGGAAGCAGAGAAACGTGAACAAAACAACACAACGTAACGTTTCGACCGGGCGGCTTTTTTCAAACATAAGAACTGCACAAACGAGGAATGGAGAGTATGTAGATCTCTAAGGGGTGACGTGAGCAACGTTTTAAAAAAATACGATGTGGAATAAATGAAATAAAATAGAATAAATTATGGTTATAAAATATAGTTACACAAAAATAAAAAACACTAGTATTGTTAATATATAATATGATACTGGGAATAAAAGAAATACACATGTTAATGATACATAAATAATATTGATAAGAAATAGAATAAAGTAATAATATGAAATAAAATAAAAGAAAAGAAAATAATTAACATATGAAAAGTGATAAGAGTATAACTATTTAGATTAAGGTATGTTGGATATTGATACCACCTGGACTAAGAACGCCTAAGCTGTGGATGCGGCGATTTTCCAAAGCGAGGCGCTTAGTATGATCGCCAGAGCAAGATTTGAATGCTGTGACAGATATATCATCTTTACCTCTGTGGTTAGAGCTAAAACTATGTTCGTGTGTTATCTTGCAACTATGTTTTACAGGAAACACGTCTAGACAGAACAGTTGGACAGAAAAATGCAATTTTGCTTTTAACTTTATGTGCCTTCTTCTGCTATCCTTTGTCCATGTAAGAACATACACCCTCGGTCTACTCGTGCGGGGTTGTTCAGTTAACTGTCGTCACCTGCAGATCCGTCCACTCTGCCCCAATATTATTTATTAATAATCTTTTTAACTATTTCCTTCTTCAATTCACTGATAGCTCACTTCACTTTGGGGCGCTATAACTAGATGATTAGTAATCTCTTTCACTATTTCCTTCTTCACTGCACTGATAAATCACTTCACTTCGGGGCGCTATAACCCCTTTCTCCGGGTAGATGGAACAAGTTAGCTTTGCACACCAGTCCATATAGCAGACGGAAAACTCGAATTTAATCACCCAAGTTCAAGGTGGGCCAATTTGCTGAGGAACTGGATGGCCACGCCTTAGCTGGTCGTGAACGTTGGACGTCTGGCGGGCGTGAGGGGCGGCACAAGGCGTATGGACTTCTATGGGACATCCATTGCCCCTTCCCTAGCAGGCAGGCAATACTAGGGTGACCGGTCATTTCGTGCAGTTAATTTTCGTATGGATTTTAAAAATATACATAAGCATCGGCGCCGGAGCTACAGGGCACGTGCTTTGCGCTTAACACATTATTCAGCAGTTATTGAAGATGGAGTGAGTAGGAGACGTCGAAGGAATGGGCAGAGAAGAAGGTATAGAAATAGTAGGGCGGGTGCTAGGGGAACAAGGCGAAAAGTGGAGAGATTGGGCTTTAATTATGTAAGAATAGGATACTGGAACTGTCGGAGTGCTAGGCAGAGAGGTCCTGTACTGGAGAGGTTGATTTTTGATTTTGATGTCATCATGCTCCAGGAGCTAAATACAGACAGATATAATTGCCCGGGGTACGTCTGTTATATAAACCCTGTTGGACATGAGAGAAACGGACAAGGTCTGGTGGTGAAGGAGGGAAGCATGTGGTGCTTGACTCGAGCCAGTGGAACCACAGTGGACGAGAGGTTCAAGGGATACAGGTGGAGATTAGTGGCTTAAGTTAGAACCTACTAAATATATATGCCACGGTAGACTGATTTGTCAGAAGGGAATAATGGAGCTGGCTCAATGAATTACCAGGTGAGAGGTTACTCATATGTTGGGATTTCAACGCGAGGAACAGAGAATGGGACAGCAGTGGAGAAAACCGACAGGGAATTGCTCTTGCAGAGGCCATGATTTACTCCGATATGGTCTGCATTATTGATGAGAGGCCGACTAGAATGCCAATGAGGTCTGGAGATGCAGATACAGCCATTCACTTGACATTTGTCTCTCAGTCGTCTCTTTTAGATGTTAAATGGACTGTCCTGAATGACTATGCAAGTGGTCACCTGCTATGTTTATTCTTGATTTGTAAACTTGTAGAGACGATGCTGCAACAGAAGGAGAAAGGGAAGGCTTTTCTCCATAGGTTTATAGCTCAGAGAGATCATAATGATCAGGGATGCAGTTAGAAATCAGTTAGTTGGCACCTTGAAGAACATGCATTATGAAGACATGATACAAGTGGAAGATATCAAACAAGTTTTGAAAAAAGCAAAAGACACTGCACCAGGGCCTGATGGAGTCAGGTATGGTCACATGAAGGCTTTGAGCGATGTAGATCTGGCAGAGATGGCTGACTGTTTCAAGCAGAGTATTAAGACAGCATCAGTACCGCAGGACTGGGTGCACAGCTATCTAATCCCACTACCAAAACCATTTAAAGATCATTCTAAGCTTAGTGGCTTTAGAATCATCAATTTACAAAACACATTTGAGGTCTCGGAGAAGATAGTTGTTGTAAAGCTACAAGAATTTTTGGAAAAGGGGAAGCTTCTCCCAAGAGGTCTGGGTAGCTACAGGCCAGGAAAGGACACTTCGGCAAATGTGGCCACTTTTGCTTTTGACGTCTATGAAGGGTTCAAGAACAGAAGGAAAATATGGCGATAGGACTGGATCTCGAGGATGCTTATAATTGAGTGAGATACGACATCTTAATGACTGCACTGGAGGAGAAGGAAGTCAGTCCATGGCTGGTGAATTGTGCTGCAGCTGTCCTGTATTCACGTCGGGTTGCTCTCCGATTTGGCTCATGGACCTCTGAACCATGCACTTTAGCCC